AGTGTTGGGCGCCATCACGACCTACAGGTGAAATTTGGGTCGTGACAATAGTATATAAGCTATATTTGATATAAAATTAGCTATATTAAGATGTATATATATATATATATATATATATATATATATATAAAAGCTATATTCGATTAAATCTTACTATAACATATGTAACTGTTGTTGTTGCTAAAACATAAGTATTAATATAGCACTACATCTTATAGAACTATATATAAGATGTATATATATATATATATATATATATATATATATCAATTAAGTATTAAATATTATTTATTTTAAAGCTATTTATATAAAGGTTGGCAAAAACCGACCGTCTTCGGTTGGTAATATTATTAAATTATATTTTAATTATTTTAAAATTATTTTTTCCGACCGAACTCGGTCGGAAATATTTAATTATAACTTATTCCGGTTGGTAAATTAAATATATATAATTTTTGTTATATTAAAAACCAATTTTCTTGGGCGGGAAATCATAATTTCAAATATTCCAACCGAAATCGTTCTAAAAAGTTTGAAAACTTTTAATAAAAAAATATTTTTGTAGATTATATGCAAGTGTGACTAGGTCTTAGTCAAATATTGACCAATTTCTGACCGAAATCGGTTGGAAATTTTATTTTATTTTTGTTCTTTGACTTTTGCGACCAATTTACTTAATTTTCGATCGAGTTCGGTTGATATGCTTTGGACGAAATATACCTGTTTTCTAGTAGTGTGATTCAAATAAGTATTTAAAATAACTTTAAAAATTGTACGTGCTTACGGGTAGGTCTAATTACAAAACATAGAATGAAAGTTTATAGAGATTCTTTGAATTTTTTATTAGAGTTTTTGCTTATACTATGATTGCAAAAAGTAATCAAATGGACTTTATTGTGGAATTTTTTAATTTGGTTTTGGTTTTTCTGTATACCTTCTTGTAACTATAAAGTTGATTTTTCTTTTTTGCTGTAGAGCTAGAGAGTTCTTATTGGATTGAGTCCCCAAGATTGGAGGTCATGATTGATGCTTTGTAACATCAATTACAAGAGTAAGATAACAATCGGACAAGCAAATCGATATGCTTAACCAAAAAAAAAAAAGAACTAATGTAAATTTGCTTATATATAGATATTGAGTTATTCACACAGCAATTTACTTTTGGTAATTTGATGTACCTTTATATACTCTCTATTCCCTTTTAGTTGTCCACAATAAACTTTATATTCTCCTTAATAAGTAATGAATAAAGTACATATTTTACCATAATACCCATAATTTTCGGAAATAACTTGTTGATAGTAGGAGTAAAAAAAAATAATAATTATTTTTATCTTGAAATGCTAAAGTGAAAAAGAAAAAGAGAAAATGTATTTTCAGGTGTAATATAATATTTTTTTTACAAGATGTATATGAGTTATAAATTAATTAACAAATAACACAAGAATTTGGATTTTCCTCCATACTATAGACCCTATAGTGTTGTGTCATATCAGGATTATAATTCTTGTAAAGTTTTACAAGCTCTGAAACTTGTTCATTCTCTTCTTTCTTGCCTTGTCCATCTTTTTTGTTTCCTCCATTTTTATTCCCACTTTGATCTTCTTTCTTCTTTTCTGGCTCTTTTGCTGGCCCTACTGTTAATATTTCTGGATGCCATGTTTTCTTCAATTTTCTCACCACTTGAACTGGATCAATATCTCCTACTACTGTTAATTTTTTCTCTTTCAGATCAATTGATAGATTTTCAATCCCTGTTGAACAAAAAAAATAAAAATAAACATCTCCTCCGATCGAGTCAGTGTGCGTATGTATATATGCAGTCAAACCTCTCTATAACCGCCTCGTTTATTCCGATAGATGCTATAGTAAAGTGATGTTATAGATGACATATATTATAACATAGCATAAAAATCGATTTCGAGAAAAACTTGGCTTTTATAGTGAATGACTATTATATAGTGATATTGTTATAGAAAGGACTGACGGTAACTGAATCAATACTGTGGTACATTGACAGAGACACTTCCAATCAAGTGGGTGTCATTCAACATCACTTTTTGATGAAAATTTTAATTGAATTTCTATATGTATAATATTTTTTAAAAAGAAATAGTATTTGTATAGACAATAAGGTTGACACTTGCTTAAAACTAATGTAAAGTGCATATCAGTTACATCGGGAAATAAAGTGTTAGAATCCCATTATCCTCACCCAAATTCAAAGGGCAAAGTATCAACGCATTCACGCAAGGTATGAGAAAAGGCCGCACCCCAAGGATGTGATGTAGATAGTCTACCCTACTGCAAGCATTAATGGTTGTTTTCACGGCTCTAATAAAGACCCAAACTCGTATACAAGTCAGAATTGTAATAATTGGTCCATACTTTTAGCACAAAATTCTGTGTATGCTATTATTTCTAGAAATGCAAAAGGAAGAGGCATTGAATTGTGCAATTATTTTATTTAAAAGTTTAAATTGTTAGTTAAATAGAACATATAATTATATACATAATTATGACTTTACCGTACACGCTTCCTTACGAGCTTAATTCTTTTTTTATGACTAAGAATGTGGAAATTCTTCTTATCAGTAAATGGATGGAAAAAAACATAAAAAATGAAGAAGAGGATGTACCTGAGAGGGTAGAGACAGCTTTCATAGCCTTTTGTTTCCCTTTGTCATCATATACCTCTAATTTCAAAACAACTTTCTGCAGATATATCAAAACAAATTAAAGCCTGAAAATGATGAAGAAGTTTATGAAAAAATCAAGAATACAACAAAAAAAAAAAAAAAAAAAAAAAAAAAAAAAACCAAGTGTAATCCCACGAGTGGGGTCTGGGGAGGGTAGTATGTACGCAGACATTACCCTACCTTCAAGAAGGTAGAGAGGTTGTTTCCGAAAGACCCTCGGCTTAGAAAAGATAAAAGGAAAAGATAAAAGGAAGGGTAGCAGCAATCACGATAATTCTAAAACCGAAGAAAAAATACAAAGATACAAAATTAAAACTAAATATTGTAATAAGAAGGCCGAAACGAAAGTAACGACAAGTAATCACATAAATCAAGAAATACGAAAATACATAACTAACACTAACTCATAACCAAGAATAATGAAAACAAAAAGAGAAACATAGGAGAAAAAAGAAACTTTCAGCTGATTATTTTGTGAGTAAATTGTAGGAGGAGGAAATTATACGTACCTTCATTTTGCTTTAATACAGTTTCTAGGCTAGAATACTTAGAATTTGTAAGAAATCAACACATTAAATTAATTATTTGAGAAGTTGGAGGTGAGAATGAGAATGTAGAGATGATTATATATATGTAATGTTTTTGTCAATATTATATTTGGGGGTTAGTTAGAAGAAGAAATTCCTTGTAGAACAAGGAAAAAAGATGACAACGTGCTGAATAAAATAAAGGAAATAATGCTAAAAAGGACAATTTTTAGAGAGGAAAAAAAAATGGACAGATTTCTAGAAAGGCAGATAAAGACTTGACCAACGTCTAGAGCAAGCTACTGAATTTTACTAGTCTAGAACGCCAATATACAAATGATTCAAAACATTAAGAGATATAATGGATAATTTCATCAAATAATTCTTAAGAATAATACTATTAATTAAATATTTTTAATGGGTGTGACAATGTTTTCGGTAACACTTGCTTTGGAGCGGAGAAATTACTAGTCCAATTACAAATAATTTCAGTAATTGATATATTATGATAAGTAAATTATTATAATATGTTAAATTACAGTACTAGTCTAATTAAAAATAAGTTCAATAATTGATATATTGTAGTAAGTAAATTATTATAACATGTTAAATTACCGCAATGATGTAAAAATATCTTATGTAGTTAGTAAATATAGCATTAACTCTTAATTTAATTATGACTGGGATGGCCAAAACTTCCTGGTTCATATTGATATAAGCCGTTGCATAAACTGAAAAGTTTTCAAGCCTTACTTGTACTTAATTTCGAAATTAAATTTGAGATAAGTTTATTTCACATTTGGTTAGGACAAAATTCCGAAATAACTAATTCCAAACTTATTTATCCTGGGATTGTAATGTTATTATTATTTATCCCTATGAAAATGTGAGATAACTAATACCGAGATTATTAATTATAGGATAACTTCTTTCCATCCAAACAACCGTTAGTGTTAAACATGATATTACCAATTTATGCTCTAATCATAGCCATAATCATGTGCTAATAATATAATTAACTTTTGAAATATTCCTTTGTGCGTAATCAGTCAAAAGGCTAATACCCACCCGCGGTTTTAACAAGAAGCGTCTAGAATACGTTCAAGTGGTTTGGAGTTTTGTGAAAATAATTTAATTTGGAGTACGGATTGCATTCTCTTCCAAGATAAGGCTGCTGACAACAACTCATCAAATAAAAGATTATTGAATTTAGTTTATATTCAGCGCAATTATACATGTTGTAGAATGTCATTTACCTTATTTTTAAGTTACTAGTTTATTTGTTAAACATAGTTATCTTTAATAACTTTTAGGGTGATCTAATAGTGTTTCAAAAAGTGGCAATTTTTCTTAAGGATCGATATTAATAGTCGAGTTTTTACTTGTAATAGAGTATGTAGTAAAAGTTTTTGGTTTGGTTACCTTATTATCTTGATGTCGTTATTCCTTTTGTTACTATTTTTTTTTCATTACTGTATCTATTGTAATATTTCTTTTCAGTAATATTGTGATTATTGAGCTGAGGGTCTATCGGATACAACCTTTATGTAATGATCCAAACAGTCATTTTAGCTTTTAGAACCCCGTTCCCTAAAATAAAACTCCCTGTATGTACTTTTAATGATTTATGACTTGCGGGGATGGTTGGTTCGGGATTTGAAAGTGTTTGGGTTGAAATTGCAACACTTGGTTCCTTAAGTTAGCCTTAAAAGGCCAAGTTTGACTTCGGTCAACATTTTGAGAAAACGACCCCGGAATCGGGATTTGACGGTTCCTATAGGTTCGTATGATGATTTTGGACTTGGGCGTATGTTCGAATCGGGTTTTGGATAACCCGGGAGCGTTTTGACGCTTAATAGTGAAAATCAACTATTTGAAGGTTTAAAGTTCTTTAAATTTGGTTTGGAGTAGGTTTGGAGTAATGGAGGTTAGTTTGGAATTCTATGTCTGAGAATAGTTCTGTTTAATGATTTATGACTTGCACGCAAATTTTCATGTCATTCCGAGTAGTTTAAGTACGTTTCGGCGCATTGGAAGTAAAGTGAAGAACTTGAAGTTCTTAAGTTTGATTCAATTTGGTTTGAGGTGTGATTCTTAGTTTTGATGTTGTTTTACACGTTCCGAGAGTTCGAGCGAGTCCGTTTTATGATTTCAAACTTGTTGATATATTTGGGCGGGCCCCCGAGGGCCCCGAGTGTTAACCGAACGAGGTTCGGACCAATTTTGAAATTTGGAGGAAGAACTGAAGCTTTCTGCTTCTGGTACAATCGCACCTGCGCTTGGACGGTCGCAGGTATGACCATCGCAAATGCGACGTTTGTTCGCAGAAGCGAAAGGAGGAGGGAATGCCTGCCACCGTAGGTGCGGAACTTTGGCGCACCTGCGAACGCGCAGGTGCGAGGCTAGGCGCGCAAATGCGAGGCTTGGTCAGGCGAGTGAAACTCGCACCTGCGAGGCTTTTGCGCAGGTGCGAAGCCGCAATTGCGTTCCCACCTCCGCAAGTACGAAAGGCCTGTTTGGCAGAAAGCTTAAAAGAACGAGAATCAACCATTTTTGCCTGTTTTCTCTCCATATTTGGGTGATTTCAGAGCATTTTGAGAGGAGATTTCAACTAACAACTTGGAGGTAAGTTAATTCTACACACCTTGAGTTAAATACATAGACTATGGGTAGATTATAACTAATAAATCTTAGAAATCAAAGGTTTAGATGAAAAATCTAGATTTTTATAAAAATGAGATTTTAACCACGAAAATGATTATGGAATTGGGTAGAAATTATATATTTGAGTTCTTGAGATTATGGGTAACGTTTTCATCTGATAATTTCTGAAATCCGGACACGTGGGCTCGGGGTGAATTTTATTAATTTTTCTATTTTGGTTAGGGTAATTTATTTAATAGTCTAAATTCGAATTATTGAACATGTATTAATTATTTTGTATAATATTTGGATAGCTTCAAATTTTTCGGCATCGAATTAAGAATTTAACACGACGTGGTAATCGAAAAGTGGACTTTGAGACAAGGTAAGTCTCTTGTCTAATCTTGTAAGGGAGAAATTACCCCATAGGTAATTAAATNCTTAATTTTTTATTTGAATTAATTAATTATTAAAAGAATTGTTCATCCTCCCAAATTTACTTATAATAAATATACTCTCCTTTCGAAGGTAAATAAGAAAATGTCCTCCTTTCTTGAGGAGCGGGCCGAACGCCTCGGCAGGATAGATGCATCTATGGATCGCGCCGCACGTCCCTCGGTAGTGTACACGACACTCTAGAATGGGCCGTACGATCTCGGCAGAAATCGTGCCTAATAATAATAATTACACGATACCTTGCTATTTTTCTTGCAGCTTGTAGATTTAATTAATAGATTGGAAATTGTTGCATTTGAAGGTTTTTTATTATTTCTGCTAATTGAATAAAATTATTGATTAACTCTGTGAATCAAGCTGATTTAAATAAATTTTATTTCATTCTATTTATTATTGTTGACCCTTAGTGAGTGTCAAAGTCGACCATCTCGTCTCTACCACTTCGAGATTAGGCTTGATACTTACTGGGTATACGTTGTTTACGTACTCATACTACACTTGCTGCACTTTTTGTGCAGGACCTGAGGCAAATACTAGTGGATGACCTATCATCTTACACCCACGTTATCCAGAGGCGTAGTGGTGAGCTGCCTTTCTGAGCCGTTCTGCAGCTACCAGTGTCTCTTCTTGTATTTACATTCTGTCTATTATATTTCAGAGAGTATTTGAAGTTTTGTATAATCTACTAGATGCTCATACACTTGTGACACCAGGTTTTGGCACACACAATGGTAGAATTTGGAATTGGTATCTTCTTTTTGCATTTAAATTAATCGGTATCTTTTCTATTCTCTTTAATGTTGCTAGTAAAAGAATAAAGTTACTTAAAAAATTATTCTGAAAATAATTGATATATATTTAATTTATTTGTTGGCTTGCCTAGCTATAGTGTTGGGCGCCATCATGACCTAAAGGTGAAATTGGGTCGTGACAACATGGTATCAGAGCACTAGGTTCACGTAGGTCTCACAAGTTATGAGCAGACCTAATAGAGTCTTGCGGATTGGTACAGAGACGTATGTACTTATCTTTGAGAGGCTATAAGGTGTTAGGAAACTACCTTTCTTCATATTCCATCGTGCAATTGATGTAGTACTAAATATCTTTCTCTTATTCTCTCACAGATGGTGAGAACGCACTCTAATGAGGTTCCAAACCAGGGAAGAGCTACTTCCCCAGTTGCTAGAGGCCGAGGGAGGGCTCCAGCCCGTGGTAGAGGGCGAGGACGTCCTAGGACTATTCCAGTTATGCCACCAGTAGGTCCAGCAAAGAACCCCATTGTTGAGGAACAGGGTGAGGTGCCTGGTAGAGCTAGCTCTGGTGGATTTCACATCTGCACCGGGATTTCAGGATGTCATGGGTCATATGTTGCGGTTCATGGACACTATGACTCATGCCGGTTTATTTCCGGCAGACCCAGCCACATCTTAGGCGGGCGGGGGATCACAAACCCTTACCGCGCAGGATCATGGGCAGGCAGTTGCTGTATATTATACCTAGGGTGCACTACCCGTGGGTAGAGCCCAGCCAGTGGCAGCTGCTACACCTGAGCCCAGGCCAGCTGCAACCGCTGATCCGCATAAACTATTGAACAGATGGACTAGACTACATCCTCCTGTCTTTGGGGGTGAGTGACATAAGGATCCCCAGGATTTCATTGATCGATGCAAGGATATTTGTACAACATGAGGATATTGGAGTCTCATAGGGTTGACTTTGCTACTTTTCAGCTAGAGGGCAGAGCCCGTAGATGGTGGAAGTCTTATATTCTTGGCAGGCCAGTAGATTCTCCTCCCATAACTTGGGACAGGTTCACCCGTATCTTCCTGGATAGGTATATTCTACCCTCCCAGAGGGAAGAGTTGCGGTTTCAGTTTGAGCAGCTCCAGCAGGGTCAGATGTCAGTGACCGATTATGAGGCGAGGTTCTCTGAGTTATCTCGCCATGCACTTATGATACTCCTTACTTAGGCGGAGAGAGTGTAGAGGTTC